CAAGTGCCTCGGAGGTCCGAAAGCCTCTAATTACCCGAAGACGCCAGGGTCACTGTAGCACTTTGAAAAGCGAGTGCATGCCGCCAACATTGTCTAGTGGTGAGCCGCAATCCCGACAAATTAATGTCATCAACTACCAGGTCTCTTGAAGTCTTTCCATGCCAGGTCAAAGAAAAACGCATTCATCCGATATGAATCAGTGATTTGAAGGACAGGCTTATAAAGAGCCAAATATTTACCGAATGGTCAGTGGCATTCCATGTTTGAACGATAGTTCCGTCACCCGGAAGGAGTTTGAATGGTATCGAGGCAGAGGTTTCAAAATACTCTACATCAATTGTTTGAATTTAAATTATTTTTATAACTGAATAACATACATGATTTCTTTATGCGGGAGATGATATAATGTTGTGGTAAGGCACAAACGGGAAGACATTGCATTATGCGAAAGCCACTTGCCAAAACATTATCACCCATGATTTATATATTGATTAAAAACGCTTCGAGGTAGATTCAACAAGTGAAACTTCAGAACTCACAACGGAATCACCTCTTCAGCAAAAGTTGAAAATTAATAAACGAGTTCAGGCTTTTGATTCTGGCCCTTATTTACACAGATAGGTGGCTGAACGATCCACGCAACAGATCGGTAAAACCGCGTTTCATAATCGAGACTGTACTCAGAACTGTGCGGAGTACAGATTAATGTTTGAAGGTACTTATGTTCAACAAACGAACAGTACTATTTGCCAGCTGGATCATATTTTACGGTCAAAGCGTTGTTGAACTGATTGAACCGAATGTTAACCAATAATCAGTGTAAAGTTCACAGTAAAAACAATCGGATCTTTATTATGTTGACGTAATTTTCGGTATTAATTTTGTGACTGTGCCCCAGCCTTTGCTAATAGACATTGAAGACATGTAATGGTGACATATGCAGTTTTCATTGTCTATATGTAAAGGAACTCTTTTATCAGCAGACCTAATTTAGATTGTTTTTTGTCCATGACAGATAAGTTGATCTGAATGAATGAATGGTGACCGCATGCTAGTAAATACCTGAAATATCAAATATACTACAATGGTCAGTTTGTACAAGGCGAACTGCAGAAAGATGTTCTTTGATCCAAATGTCCAATTCTGGTTGGTCTTTCCAATGTACACCTTATCACAGTCTCCGCACTGAATTCTGATGCAACATTCAACACTTCATCCGAATTAATGGGCATGTACATTTTAAATAAAACATTACCCAACGTGCT